TCCTTCCTTCCAGGAGTCACACATGGTCTGCCTTTTTCTCATGTGAGCACAGTGTAGCCATTTTCTACCCTTGCTGACAAGCTCTCTAGACTAACCATGTTGCCTCCTGTTGGCTAAAACTGTTTTGAGGTTCTCAAAGGTGACTTTGTGGCATCTCTCCCCATACTTGCCCAGGACCTGGCCCTGATTACCTCCCTGTTTTTAGTCTGGTTTTCCCCAGAGCCATCTTAATTAAGGTCCTAATTAGGACAGCATCAATGAACTGTAAATGCATTTGTAGGGAATGATTGCTTGTCTCAGCAGATCTGTTGCTTCTTTGAAGATAGTAGCAGAAGTGATTGTAAGCAGCTGTGGTATAGTGGCTAAAGCACTGGTTTTAGTCAGAAAATCTGTGAATCCCAGCTCTGCCATTTAATAGCTATTTGAACTTGGGGAAGTCACATAAATTCACTGAGTCTCAATTCCATAATCTATAGAATGGGGGATATATTAGACAGGGTAGGTTAACTGCCATAACCAAAATTTTAGTAGTTTAACACAATAAAAGTTTGTCTTACTCATTCTACCATCCGACACAAACATTCCTGGTTCAGTAGCTACTCTGCATAGCTGTCCTCCGACTTGTTGAGTCAGAGGCTCAGGACCCGTCTTGTAGCTCCTTCAACCCTCTTCACCCATCGCCTTCCCCATTTGGCCACAAGAAGGGGAAAGGAAAGAGGTTGTTAAGGTTTGTTCAGTTTTATAGGCCAGGGCACATGACTGTGCCGAATCAATTGCAAAGGAAGCTGGGGAATGTAGTTTAGCTGTGTGTCCAGGAGGAAAAGGAAATGGTTTACAGAGCACCTGGTCAGTCCTTCCGAATATCCTACTATAAGGATAAAATTGTTTCTAGAATTAAATGAGAAACGTAAGTGCTAGTGCTGAGAACAGTGTCTTGTACATGGTTAAGTGCTGAAAGTGGGTTTGTACATTTCAAAGAGTGCCTCAGAAAACAACAAATGTTTTAGGAAGGAAATGTAAATTGTGGGTTGTGAGAGCAGTTCTCCTTCATGGTTTATTTTAGAGTGTATCAGGAAACAATATTCAGTAAGAAATAGTCCATTAGTATCAGTAAGACATATTTCAAAAGAAAATAATCCATTAGCCCTGGCACCCTTAAGAAAGAGCTTAGTCTGACAGAGGGAGCGCTGCCTCTGGCTCTGCTACCAGCGTCCTTAGCCCCCCTCACCTCTCTTTGCTGCCTCTTTTCCAACTAGTTGTACCCCTACCCCAACCATCCTAAACTCACACACACTAATTCCCTTTATTGAGGATTATAGTGGGAGCTGAATCAAGAGTGAAAATGGGAGAGGGGTGGATTAAATCAGACAAAGGTAATTCAGAGGAATAACTAAAGTAACATAGGTCATCTAAAGGAGAATTAAATGGAATTTTGCCTGAGAGAAAGGTCCAGACTAATTCAAGTGTGTGTGACTGAGTATGCAAATCAATTGAACAGAGAGTAGAGGGAACACTAATGTAAATTTTCTGTAATGAAATAAGACTTTGTTTATCCCAACTGTTAGGGTCCTTATGCCTTTCCAATCCACTTGGCGTTCCCTGTCCCTTCTCTCCCTACCTGATGATGGGATCTGATTAGGAAATTTAACCTCCCTTTCTGCATATTTCAGGGATAATGATTTTATTAGAACAAGAGTTTTTGGTTTTTATTTTTGAAAGGCATAATACGATTATTTCCTCTCCTTTTTACCAGTTCAAGCCCTACCTTTGAAAAAACATCAGGAAGAAACTATTAACTGATGTGTGTTGCTTTTAGAGCCATCCCAGGGGACAGATACATTTCCATTAAGCGTCCAGTTGGGGAGAGCTGCAGTAGGCTCTGTAATGAACTCTGTGATCTGAGGGCTGGGGGCTGGCTGGGAGGAAGCTCTAATGGTGGCTTAGAAAGCAAGTCCCTTTCTGAAGATGTCCAAGAATGGGTCATTAGAAGAGAGGGCTGAGGGTCAGGCTGCAGAGAGTGATAAATGGGGGTCATTTGAAAGAAAAGACATGATAAGTTAAAGTGAAATAATGATTGTGGCTCAGGATTCAGGGCTTTTATTCAGCCACAAGCTATTCTTGCTCTTCATGAGGGAGAGAGGGCCGCAGGCTTCTGTTTCAAAGTGAGAACATGAAAATGAAGCAGCCTGGTCTTGGGTGAGTCGGAGGACAAGAGGCTAGGGATGAGCCCAGGACCTAGAGACATTCTATGTCTAGGTACATACCCAAAATAAATGGGGAAATATCCACAAAAAATGCTCAGAGCAGCATTATTTATAATAGCCAAAAGGTAGAAACAGCTCAATTTTCTATCAACTGATGAGAGGATAAACACAATGTGATAGATCCTTGCGATGAAATGTTACTTGTCCACAAAACGGAATGAATCCTGATACATGCTGCAGCATAAATGAACTTGAAAATATTATGTTAAATGAAAGAAACCAGTCACAAAAGTCCACGTATTATATGATTCCATTTATGTGAAATGTCCAAAATAAGCAAATCCATAGAGACAGAAAGTAGGTTAGTGGTTTCCAGGGGGTGGGAAAAGGAGGAGGAGCACTGGGGGAGGCTTTGGAGGTGATAGCTAAATGGGGTTTCTTCTAGAGGTGAAGAAAATGTTCTAAAATTGATTGTTGTGATGGTTGCACAACTCTGCATATACTAAAAATCATTGAATGGTATACTTTAAATGGGTGGATTGTATGGTTTATATGATTTATATGATTGTATGAATTATAGCTCAATAAAGCTCTTACAAAAAACCCCAAATGTATATTATGTCAGGATAAATTTTATGAAGAAGAGTAGAGCAGTGGCCAGGATAGGTGGGGGATGCTGTTTAGATAAACAGGTCAGGGAGGGCTTTTCCAATAGATGACATTTTTTTAAAATTGGGGAACAGTGTATTTTTCCAGGACCCATCAGCTCCAAGTCAAGTAGTTGTCTTCAATCTAGTTGTGGAAGGCGCAGCTCAGTGGCCCATGTGGGAATTGAACCGGCACCTTTGTTGTTGTGAGCATTGAGCTCTAACCACCTGAGCTAACCGGCCACCCCAAGAGATGACATTTAAGTGGAGAAAAGAGAGAAGTGAGATAGTGACCTCTGCAGATATATTGGGGTGTGGGGGGGTCCAGGTTGAGGAAACCAGCGCAGGGCCTGAAGCCACCGAGAACAATCAGGGTCCAGGAGCTAGAGAAGGGTGGCATGGCCGAAGCTGCTTAGGGGGAGCAGGAGTGTTAGGACCTGGAGTCCCAGAGTAGGCAGCAGTGCACCCAGATCCCATGGGATCCCATGGACTGAGGCTGGGAGTTCAGGTTTTATACTTAGTGTGATGGAAGTGATGGGAGTCTTTGAAGCGTGCAAATGACCCATGTGGGTGCACAGTTTTAGATTCCTCTGATTGTGGGTGGGAGGTTGGAGTGAGTGGAATGCTGGTAAACCAGCCCTTTTGGGGGAAGGGGAGGGAGGCGAGGAAAGACCCTGGTTTGTAATGTTTGCTGATTTCTGTGGTGTAAATGCTCTCACCATGGCCAGTTTCAAATGACAACAGGCTGGTAAAAATCCTCAAAATGTAGCAGTCGGCTCTTGTGAACCAGTATGAGCCCCAGCACACCCATGGTAGGAGGCCAGTGGAGAGGCTTCTGGAGCAGCAGTGAAGTGGTGAGAACAAGTGATCAGGTTTGGGGTATATTTGTAAAGATTTCTCCCATTATGAACTAGGGTAAGTGATATTCTTGCTATATGAGCACCTCATTGAATCCCCCTATCAGCCCAGAGCTACATTTAGCCCATCGAGTACCTTAAAACTTTACCTTAGAGTCTGCTTCTCACCAGTCCCTCAGATGCACTCCAATATAGCCTCACATCCCAACATGCATCTGTATGCCTGGGTTGCCAGGTATGCCAGATTGCAAAGGCAGGGAGGTGGAAGGAAGAGAAAGAGTGGAGAAACCTAGGGTTATATATTTTTATGGCAAAATTTTATTGCTGGAGTTGTGGCAACTCAAGGTAAAAAGAAAGGAATTACAGTTAAGTGTCTATATAAAGTATTCCAAATATCTTCATGTTAATTTGGGAAGAAGAGAGACTTTTAGCTCCATTTTAAAGATGAGAAAATTGAGGCTCAGAGAGGTTAAGAAATGTGCCCAGGGGCACACAGCTGGTGAGTGGCATCTGGGGAGGTGACCTTTATTCTTTCCACATAATCTCCCAGGAGATTCAGCTCTACCAGTGGGCATAGGAGCCCACTTTTCATTATACCCACAGTTCCTCAGAAGGCATGTTTCTGGACAAGGAGCAAGCCAGCCACTTTCTGAAATACTTAGGTACTTGACATGAAGCTAGGTGTGTGGAGATCATTTTTTCATTCACTTAGCAAACAATGAGTGCCTATTATTATATTTATCAGTTACGCCAGTGGCTGCAGTGATGGGTAAGACACTGTCCCTGACCTCGTAAATTAATCCACATCCCTCTATATGTTCTCCTTTATAATTTGGGGCACAAATCCCATTTGCTCATTCCCAATCTATCTATGGTTTTCAGGGAGCCCAGGACGCTCACATGATGTGACATTTCCCTAAGCAGCTGTGGGACATGGAATCTGGACACATGGGAAGTTGTCAAAAATTGCAACTTCCTTTACCTGTGCTTTGGAAAACGTCACTTTGCCCCTTCCTCTGCCAATCCCTTAGCTGACAAAACCAGGAATGCCAACTGAAGCATTTCTAGGTAGCACCAGACCTGCCCTCTATGGGCACCCGCTTCTCCATTCTTGGTCTCCCTATTTTTGACAAGGGAGCAAGAACCTGTTTTGTGAGGATGCAGGGTACTTCCCTAGAGCAGGGCCCCTTCCTGGCTTTGAGAAGGACCACAGAATTAGGCTGCAAGTTTTTTTTCTTCTTCATAGAAATGGAATTCAAATTGGAACCTTATGTCTGGTTCCTCTGTGCTGCAAAGTATGGCTAGAGCATGGCGTACGTCAGCCAGATCTAGCATTCCAGAGGTCTGCTGACTCTTTGATTAGCTAAGCTTCCTCCCCAAATGAGAGGCCACACACAGACCCTTTCCCTATAAGAATCACTTCTAGTGTTGAGCTAGTGAACTATAATGGCCAGGTGTGTCTGTATAAGTGTGCGTGCGTGTGTGTGTGTGCGCGCGTGCGTGCGTGCGTGCGTGTGTGTGTGTGTGTGTGTGTGTGTGTGTGTGTGTGAAGGAAGCCTCAGAGGGTTAGCTCGGCATTCAAGAAAGCAGATGAGTAAGTTGAGCCATGGGCCTCCTTGAGCTCTGACGTCTTGCTCCTTTCCCAGGAGGTTGTCTGTTCTAGCAGCTCAGCTGAGTTTGAATCTCCACTCTATAACTGATAAGCTGAGTGACTTTCAGCAAGATACTTGGCTTCTCTGAGGGTTTCAGTTTTCTATTGCTGCAGAACAAGGTACCCAATACCCGGTGGCTTAAAACAACAATTTGTTATTATTACATTGCACAGTCCTGTGATTCAGGCATATCAGACAAGTCTGTGGGAATGTTCCATGTCTTCTCCACGATGTCTGGGGTCTCAGCAGGAGTGATACGAATGACTGATAGTGTGAATGCTGAAACAGCTAGGGGCTGGCTGGAAATTCTCTCTCTCTCTCTCTCTCTCTCTCTCTCTCTCTCTCTCTCTCTCTTATGTGTGTATGTACATATATGTGTCACTTTGCCCCCTATTAGACTGCCCTTGGGTTCAGGCACCATCACTATTTTGTTTCACATTGTACATCCAGCACCTAACACAGAACCTTGTGCACAGAACATGCTCAGTGATTATTTGTTGAATAAATGAATGAATTCCTCTCAAGCCTCCAAGATGCATGGGCAAAGGACAGCAGATGATGACAAGAAAGAGTGAGTGTAGAGAGACAGCCCTCCCAAGGATCCTTCGTTTTGTTCTCTCCCCATACATACATAAATACTGCTCAGCTCACCCACAAATAGGTGGAGAAGTCTGCTGATTTTGCAGTTAATACAGCTTGAGGAGTTCAAGGCTCATAGATCCTTACCTACACTATTGTCTAGATTACTGTCAAGTGCCTGGAGTAGTTAATTTGGGCTTTTCAGATTAATAAATTCTAGGCGTAAATGGGAGACTCAGAGTACTTTGAGATTTTTAGATGACAAATCAGTTGGAAATACCTTCGACTGTAATTGTCACCTTCCCATATTTCGGCTGTGAGTATAAGATCTGTCAGCTTCCGCCATTCGTCTTATCCTTAGATAAGCACTTCCCGATATAGAATGGTATAGGAATGCTTTTGAATAGAGGGGAAATGGCACCTGGGGTGGTGAGTGTGTTTGCATCCTCTCTCTCTGCCTCTGTGGCCATGTATGCTGTAGCTGATAACATGTGTCCTCAGCACAGCCTCTAAGAATTAACTCCTGGGCCCTCTGGGAGGGCATAAAACCCACTCCTCACCCAGCAAGGAGGGACTGGTGGGTGACACCTGGGTTGCCGTGTGAGACTGCTCCTGTCATGGAGTTGCTGCCACTGCCAGTCTTGGGGATAATGTAGTTCTTTCTGCCCATCAGTGGGCAGATGCCCAGAGATGCTCTGAAATTGTATCCAGAATAAGAGGGTTTTAGAACTCAGGTTATAATTTATCTTAGATCACAGGGTTTTCTCCTATAAACTCTTCTCTGTGCAAGCAAGGAAACTGAGGCCCAGGAAAGTGGGGTGAACAGTGGGTGTGCCAGGCCTGGAAGTCAGGCTCCTTGACTTCAGCTTCAGTGTTCAAGGCTCTGGATGTGACCACCTTTGCAAACTGTAAAGCACCACAACAAGGTCAAGGTTAATGTTATTACAGTCATGTGTCCCTTGGTCACTTGGATGGGAAATGTAAATAGAGAGGAAATTTTAGTGCATTTGAGAACTTCCTTTCTCACCAGAACAGCAGTCACCTTGCCCGCCTCTCCCCTGCAACCCGTCCCACCACCCTCCACACACTGGTCCTCTGGTTTTCCCTGTTGTCCTGGGTTCAGACCTGGGTGGAAACAACACATACATTTCAGAAAAGAGGGCGCAGAGGGGAAGGAAGTGTGTGAAGGGTGCTTGGCGAGGCTTTGACCTGTTCAGAAGAAATGGATGAAGTGTGAAGACGCTGAAGAAATGCATCAGGATTCTCCTTCACTTTCCTCCCTCACATCCCCCCGGCCCCCAATCTCCGGGTGTCCTGAAAGTCCAGCTCTGTGGGGAGCAGGATGGTGGCACCTTTGCCCTCAGCCCCGTCCACATCATCACCGCTCTGTGGTCACAGCCCGCCTGGCCCTTGTAAGCTGTGTCTGGGAGAAAACGAGGCCCTCCTTGCACCAGGCCGTTTCCAGGCTTCCTGAACGACTGAGAGCACTGGGAGGAGGAATGAATATTTCATAAAAGGCCATAAAGCATAATTTGTTACTAGGAGTGGATTTGAATCTGTAGTTAAAAAAAGAGAGAAGTTACCATCAGTGGACCAGAAGGTTTGCATTATTTAGGCCCAGCTATTTCATTACATCAGTAAAGCCGAAGAACCAGAACATTAAAATCACACCGTTTGCTCCTCAGGAAGGGAAGCGGCATCCTGGAGGCCCAGCTACATACAACTTAGACTCGCTGTGCAAGGGACAGTGGCTCTCTGCCTGGAGCGTGCTTGGGGGGAGGGTGACATAGATGCCTTGGATGGAAACGCAATGAGCTGCCCCAGCCTCCCCTGCCTGCTCCCACCTATTTGCATCGAAGGTGGGGACGGGAGTGAGGGAGCCTCCTCTTTCTGCAAGGATCCTCCCTAACCGCCCTGCCCTTCCTTCTCTCCAGAAGCAGCTCCTTCATTCCGCAAGGCTGAGAGGGGAATTCAAGTCTGGAAGAGGAAACAGCCTAAAAGTGGACATCAGACATCCCTGTTCCCATCGCTGCATCCCAACCGACACAGTGCGTTACAGGAGACGTCTTAGAGACCTGTCGCCCCACCAGATTTTGAGGACCTGTCCTACTGGACAGACAGCCTTCTCTAATTTCTTCTCTTTTAGAACTATGGGCTTCCCCAAATTCCTGACCCTGGTGTAAAACAAAAATCATTTTACTTCTGTTCTAATGCAGTGATTTAAAACTTTTTTTTTTTTTGGCCTTAAGCTGTCCTTTACAAACCATATCCCAGGCTTTACTAGGTCTGACAATAAAGTTTGGGAGCTTGTTGCAACGATGTTGCGAACCTTTTTTGATATCAGAGGGATTATTCATTATGGATTTGTACCAACTGGACAGTTAACCAAGTTTACTATTTGGAAGTGCTGAAAAGGCTGAATGAAAAAGTTAGACGACTTGGACTTTTCTCCAATAATTAATTCATGGCTCTTGCATCACGACAATGCACCAGCTCACACAGCACTGTCTGTGAGGGACTTTTTAGCCAGTAAACAAATAACTGTATTGGAACACCTTCCCTACTCACCTGATCTGGCCTCCAATGACTTCTTTCTTTACCTGAAGATAAAGAAAAAAAAAATATATATATACATATATATATATTTTTTTGCTGAGCCATCCTGCCACCTGTTGGCAACTCAGCAGCAGCTCAGCTCAGGCCAGGACTCAAACCGCTGTTGCTCAGAACTCACACTCTTGAGCAAGCTCTTGACCAACTGAGCCACTCAGCCGGCCCTAAGAAAACATTGAAAAGAAGACATTTTGATGGCATTCAGGACATCAAGGGCAATATGATGACAGCTCTGATGGCCATTCCAGAAAAAGAGTTCCCAAATTGCTTTGAAGGGTGCAGTAGATGCTTGTGGTGCATAGCTTCCCAAGGGGAGTACTACGAAGGTGACTATAGTGACATTCAGCAATGAGGTATGTAGCACTTTTTCTAGGATAAGCTCATGAACATAATTGTCAGAGTTTGTTCCATGCTTAACCATAAAGTCCTATAATTTATTTTCAGAACTGAGAGTACTTTGTACCCCATGGACTTCACATTTAGCAAAATCATCAATAGACATAAACTTTGAAACTACAATTTTTAAAAAAACTCTGTCAAAGGTTCCAGATCAATCTCTTTGTGATCATATTCAAAGAGCTTCTATTTCACTCCAATGGTGGGAGAGACAGGAAAATATTTTCTCCATCTTTTTAGGACATGCTATGGAAGGCATGGCTCTTTTTGTTCTTCTGATACCAGACTGGCTTTTGGTACCTCTGTACCTCATGCCTGTTATTTGGGGCAATATCTTCAGTTAGATGTGATTTTCTGTGTCTTGTCCAGCTCTCCTTCCTTCCACCACTCCACCTCCTCACCTTGCACACACACACACATACACACATGCACGCACACACACACACATGTGTGTGCACGCAGACGTTCACATATGCAGCTATACAGGATTTGCTTTTACTCCATCAGCACCTTTAATAGGACTGCGTTATTGTAGGTGAAGAGAGATCCATTTGGATCTTGGGGCATTCCTTATGTCACCTGCTTAGTAACCAACACACTCTGTGCATAGGCTACATGGTCTCTTCATCTCTTCTTCCTGGTTACTTTATCGTCTTCCTGTGTCTCCTCATTACTCATCAATGAACATGACAAGCATCTGTTATGTGAAGGACACTCTGCTAGGCCAGGGGGAAAAGATGTAAGACAGGGTCCTTGTCCTTGTAATGATTGGAATCCATGGGAATCTGTGCTTCTCTCTGTTCCACTTCACCTAGAAGCGTTCACTATTTGTAACCCATGGGGTAGAGAAATCACACTGATCAGGAAGTAAGTGATCTGGATTCCAACCACTGTAGCCTGGACAAGTCATTGGAAAAGTCATTACTCATTCTAAAGTCCTATTCTAGTATCAGCAAAATAACACAGTTAATGGAGGTGACGTTCACTGTCACTGCTTATGCTTGGCTTTTATGATTTAATTTGCTCAAATTATGTTCTACAGCACACAAATCTTTCAAAGTGTGAGGTTAGGTGAACAGTAGGGTTCCATGGTTAAGTCCATTTAGGAGACATTGGGTTAAATAATGGGAAGACATGTATCTGAGCCTTTTTAAAATACCCTTTATTCTAACGGCTGTTGGGAACCTCCCAGTTACAATATCAGATTCCCAAACTCATTTAATTGGGAATGTGTGTGTGTGTGTGTGTGTGTATAAACATCTATTAACATGGTCTAAAATTAGAATTGTGTAGAACGCAGTCTGGGAATGAGGAACAGAGTGCCTCCAACACGAGCTCTGATAGAAAGCCTGCTTGCATTTGAAACCTGTTCTGGTCCACAATAGTTCTGCAACATGAGGAGTTATTTAACTTCTCTGTGCTTATGTTTCTCATTTTTATAAGGAGGCAAGGGAAAGCCAATACTTCACAACTCTTAGAAAAGTGGTTGGCATACAGTAAGCATTCATGGAATGCTTATAATTAGCTATTACTATCTTTAGTTAACATTTATTAGAAGGTTACTACAATCTATCATGAAGACGTAGCTACAGCCCATGACCCCATTGGAGATGTGACTGCAGAATGAGACAACAGATTTTTGTTACCTTAGTGGTACAGGGTTAGGTCAGAAAATGGACAAGAAGAACAAAACTTCAGACTAATTCAGTATAACACATGAGAAAGTCTCTACTGAATGATATGGTAGGGGGAGAAATAAGCAACACTAAAAACAAAAAAGCTAGCCAAAGTTAAGCTTTTGAAATGAATTTCATGATCCATGTTCAATTTTCTTCTTGTAGCCATAGAATGTAGAATATTAATTACCCCTGTGTTGTATGTATCCTCCAAGCAAGAAAACAAGTAGATGTATTGGTCAGGAGAGGCTAGTTTATGCTCTAGTAATGAACACCTCATAAACCTCAGTGGATTATATTGAAAGATTATTTTTATTGCTCACACTACAGCATGTCTCTGAATAACACTGTTTCATTATAACTCTGATGAGATGCCATAGGAACTTAACTCTTGTTTATATCAACTAGCTTATGGTAAAATTGGTTTCACTTCAAGTCGCAGAACCTAATATTGGCATTAAGTGAGGATTTACTGTACATATCCATGACTGATGTTCTTGAGGCTCAGCTTTATTTCAATCTGGTCATAGGTTAGTGGAACAGTCACATTCTCAAGTACTCTGGACTATTATGGCAGAGGAAAAGAGTTCTGGTAATTGAGTACTGCTTGCCAGATATGACACATGTCACAACTCATCAGCTAGAAATAGTCACATGACCCTACTCAGCCAAAGGTGGACCAGGAAAGATGCAATCCTACCAGGTGCCCAGAAGGTGGAGAGCTGGAAATATTCGGTAAATAGCAACAATGACTACCATCTATTTCCCTTCTCTTCACAAAATGTTTGGCTCCCACAGGCAAAATGTACTTACCCGCTAAGGGCGACAACCCAAAAGTCCTGTCTAGCCCTGGCACCAAGTTGAAATTCCAGGATCTCTAGTGATGCGAAGTAGTCTTTATGTTAGGGAGTGACATATTCTGGTCTCTACATCAATTATGAATGTGGCTCCTCCTAATTCAGAGACATAGGGAACCAAAAGGACAAGTTATCTCTCCCTTTCCCAGAATACAACAAACAATGGTTGATTTGGAATAGGAAAACTTTAATAAATATTCCCATTCATAAATGGGAAAGATGGAAGAAGTGCAGCCATTGCTGGTCTGTAGTGATTCTGAAACTCCACTAAGCAGAATTAGGACCTCATTTGACTGCTTGGGAGGGCCTCCCAGCCCACTGTTCTCTGCCCCTTGGCTTCCTCTCCCTCTGTAATATTCCTTTTTCTTTGTTGTCTTCCTTGGTCATACCTGAAATGGGCATTGCAGATGATATCTTCCTTGGGGACTGAGCAGCTTTCTCAACTTGCTTCTTGACCATCAGTATTTAGGGGCCTAAAGGTTGTTTCAAGTCTTGAACAGTCATGAATGGGTTAGTCCAAGTCATGGTTCCTTTGGCAGTATGACTGTCTTAAATCTTTTTAGGCTTTTTCCTATGTGTTTAGACAGCTCTATGTGCCAACAGCCAATAACCACTTGTGGTTCTTCTTGAGATGCTCCTAACGGTAGACAATTTGCGTCTATCAGTTTTCTGTGGGAGGTTCAACCTCTAGTTTTTTCCTCCTAAGCCACTTTGTACAATCAAATTATTGTTTCTGGAAGCTATAGTTTTACAATTTTAATTAGGTTTTACTCTAAAACACCTTATTCCATTCAGAGGTATTAGCAATAGGCATGATTACCCTGTGCTGATTTGTCTCATAAGCAAGCCTGAGTACCAATCAGCCCTTCTTGCACAGAGGTTTTATTTATTTCTAATTGGGGTAAGAAACAGTTGCCTCTGTCAACCCTGATAATCCTCATATTTCTAGAATCCCTCTTGTCCATTTCATCTCTACTTGTTAACTGTCCAATTCTTTTCTGAGCTCATCAATGTCTTGCACCATATTGTCAGAGAAAGCCAATAGTAGCCACCATACAACACTAACAATTTGTTTTTGAAACTCTTCTAAGATATGCAAATTTTTTAAGGTATATTACCTGCCTTCTAAGTTATCAAAGATGACAATTTTTCAAATATTTTGCTGCTTATGACATGGATTGCCCTTAACAGACTCCAGCGAAGTTTCTTCACTGCCCATTATCTGGCCACTGAGCCAATGTCACAAATTTTAGGTTTTTAGTCATAGCAGCTTCTCATTTTAGGGTCCTACTATTGAGTCAGTTTGGCTTATGCTGTGGTAACAAATCAATCCCCAAGTGTCAGAAGATTAGGACAACAACAGATTGTTTCTCACTCAGAAACATTCCTATTGCTGTGGCTGGGGCTGAGTTCCATGTCATCTCACCCTGCAACCCGCCTTGCTCTCATGAGTGGCCACCATCCTGAGCTTTGATGGCCATTGCTGCTGAAAGCTCAGTAGGCATTCACATTGGTAACTCAACATTTTGTCCAGAAGTGACATATATCACTTCTGCTTACAATTCATTGATCAGAACTAGTTGCCTGGTTCAATCACAAGTGAGCTAGAGAGTACAATTCCCATGATCCTAAAACGTAGGGAGCTGGAGACATTTAGAAAACAGCACTAATGAGTGCCACAGTTGGGGAATGGGATGAAGCAGCAGACTGTAAACTCATGATACTAAGAAGCTCTCCTGGGATCCTCCCTGAAAGATAAGGCGTTCTTCACAGATTTGTTTCTTGGCATGGTTAGTCATTTCCTAGCCCTGTCGATTTG